CATTGGTTGCACCACCTGACAGGCCGAGGTGGATACTAGAAATCCGCCGGCAATCGATGATGCCCCAGAAGACGTCCTGTTCCTCAGGCAGTGGGAACTCGTCCGTTCTGCCATCACCGTAGGTGACAAATGCCACGGTTCCAATCACTCCTTCAGCGACACCCTCGATATCAAAGCCTACGGCAAAGACACCCTCCTCCGTGCCAATGGAGGTCATGTTAAGCGCAGGCGATACGAGCCCTGGCAGCCTGCACAATACTACGGATTTCCGAACCTCCGGCCGGTTATGAGGTTGTTGTTGATGAAACCCGTTGACGTGTACTGGGTTTCGTTGAGGATCGCTGAGATGGCCGCGTCAGTGAAGCTGTCGAAAGATGAACCGCCGAAATTGTCACCGGCGAAGTACGCTGGATCATCGTATCCATCAATGATACTATCGGCCAGCAGTGCCTGGAAGCTGACATTGTCTGAATAGAGCTCGCTGCCTGCGCTGGAGATAGGGCAGTCGCCCCTGGGCTTCTTGTAGTAACCATACCGACGATACCTTTTGAACCAAGGATGTTTGGCGGCCTTGGCCCAGAATCGCTTCAAGGCTCTGGCGGTCTTTTTCTGGGCCTTCCATGCCTTCACCGCGCTTGCTTTGGCCACTTTGAGCGGCTGGTAGAGCTGCCGGAAAGAAGCCTCTTGAGCCTGAGCGGGCATGCATGCACCCGGTATATGAAACTCTTCCTTCACTTCCTCGCACACTGTGAAGTGATGCGTAGTAGTTGTTGTAGTCGACTGCGATGCATTCGTATCCTTGGCGAGCTGCAGGGTGGAGCGTCCGTAGTTCTGGAGGAGCTCCACGACCTCTCCCCGGGCAGTCTCACATTCCTCTGCCCGGATCCCGGTGAAGAAGAGGAACAACAAAAGCCAGCTCATCTTGAGACTGTCTATGGGCGCTTGAGCCGCGTCGAGGCTCTTGGTGCCGGCATATCGGTGTCTGCGGGTTGAGGTAGGCATTAAGCTAAAAATTAAAAACAACTATATACCCGACAGTCGACACTCGGGCTCTGCCTGGCGACAGCCTGTCAGGATGATGTTTGTGGGATCCTGGCTGGCGGGGGTGTGAGCGGGGTGCTGGGTCACAGCATTGAGCTGAACTCTCACAGCCAAGATGCCCAAATGCCTTGCAAGCTCAGCTGCCATCTGCTCTGATTGCAGGATGTAGCGATTGTTGCAGAACTTGAGCACCACGGCCTGAAAATGACGCAGTACAAGTGGTACTAGTGATTTGTAACAGCGGTAGTGGCAGTAGTAGTGGTAGTAGTAGTCGTCGTCGCCGTCGTAGTAGTAGTAGTAGTAGTAGTAGCAGTAGTAGTAGTAGTAGTAGTAGTAGTAGTAGTAGTAGTAGTAGTGGTAGTAGTAGTGGTAGTAGCAGCAGCAGTAGTGATAGTAGTAGTAGTAGTAGTAGTAGTAGTAGTAGTAGTAGTAGTAGTAGTAGTAGTAGTAGTAGTAATAAAAGCATGCACTGCGATACAAACGGTCACGCAAGCACGGAGAGGCAAACATTGGCCCCATCAAGTGATTCGCAAACTCTTTCTGAGCCTGCTCCCCATCGATTGAAGAGAGCAGGCCAAAGAACACCTGGCCACCACTGTTGATCTCGACCTTCCCTGCCGACTCATCCTCCGGGGAATTCGAACGTGTTATGTAGAATGTGGAACCCAACCCTGAACCCTAAAGTGCCCTTATTCACTCACGCCGCAAAAAACCTAAAGGGCCTAGACCTTAGCAGCTGAGTACTCCAGAAAAGGCTAACCTATTCAATGATGGTCGGATGGGCTATATAAACCCAAAATAGTTAATAGTTACCTAAAATGCTCAGCTACTAAGAAATTCCTTCTATGTCCAACCCTAAACCTTTTTTTCAAAGCCCTATTAATCCCCTCCTGCTTCAGGACTTCCTACTCTCTCTCCTAAACCCTAAACCAAAAAAACACCGAAACCCCTAAACCCTAACTCCTATATCCCAAACCCCTAAACCCCAGTAAACCCCAAACCCCTAAGCCCTCTTGCAATCCGAGTCCTCCGCATCACGCGCCAGGGCCTCAGTCGTCTCTGCGGCCGCAAGCGCGGTCCAGTCCAGTAGGCCTTTCGCAGAGGTTTGGGGTTTAGGGTTTGGGGTTTAGCCTTTTCAGAGGTCCGGGTTTCTAGGTTTCGGGTCTATTTTCTAGACATTCTTCAGGTTTAAGAGGGTCGGGAGGGTGTTCAAAATTCGTGTTAAACGGATAGTTCGTAAGGAGAACGAGGGTTTGAGTTCGGATTCGAAAGCTTGGGGACTTCGTCACTTCAAACTTTGTCTTCCTGGGTTGAGGGCTTATACGGTCGTTTATGCTCCCACCTCGGATGCACACAGATGAGGTTCACGAACGTTAATGCTTGTGCGAGGTTTACATATTCTTCTTAGGGGCAAGGACAAGATAGAGGGCATGGAACCTACCTTCAACTATTCCAAGAGCCGTAGATTCAACTCCAAAGTATGGTTTGCATGCAGTCGGTTTCTGCGGCTTGTTTCGCTGGCTGCTGGAGGTTGGTGCAGTTTGACTGTGGCCGTATGACATAGTAAAGAGCATGCGTTGCACTTTGCGGCAAACAGGGCCCATAGAGTTTTTGGGATCCAGTTACCTGAGTAATGTGCTGCAAGGATGTCTGGTATATAGCGAGTAGCCTCGTATATAATAAGCAAGTGGAGTTTGGGGGAATACAACAACAAGAAAGCACAGAGCAGTGCAGAGCTACGAATATAGGGGTGCTGAGGTGAAGCAGGTTCGCGGGCATGTTCTACCATACTTGTGTTTAGGAACCGTTTGGACTAAAATTCCGGATTACTCAGGCCTCTAGACTACCTCATTCATGATTTGTTTCATAGGGTTTGACTGGCGTAGTCCCCTTTTTGCCACTGGACTCAAGTCTAGCCTGGCTTAGTCCCCTAAACCCTAAACTTAAACCGTAAATTCTAGATGGGCTGAGCATAACCCGGTGCGTTGGTCTGTTTCGGGCTCGGCGACCTGATTTTGGGGTCGAGGGCTTATGATTTCAGATGATCTGTACTTTAGGAGCCCAAAACAGAAGTGCATACAAAAAGAGCAGCAAAACGCTTCAAGGTAATCTCCTTAGGGTAAAAGAGGCTTCAATCTCTCAGCCCTAAACTACTCGGACTCTGCACAGGTGAGAGCTGAAGACTTTAGGGTTTTGGGCTGGGTTGAGGGCTCAGTTACGTCAGGAAATCGCTATAAGGAACACAAACTGAAGGTAGGTTCCATGGGGAAGAGGGGTATGTTTAAGGTTTGGTATGACGGAGACGGGTGACCCTGGACGTCTCGCGCCGGCGTCGCCCGGGCCAGCCGATCCCGAAAGGGCAAAGACGCAGGGCAAAGGGTGCGCATCAGCAGGTTCGATTGAAAGTCTGAGGGAACCTGGCCGGAGAATTGGGTTTAGGTGTTTGGGCTTTAGGATGCAAGAAGTTGCTCCGGGTTTGGTCTACACGGGCTGGCTTAAAGGTGACCCGGCTCAGGGCGAGGATAGTTCTTTCAATTACTGCCTATGTGGTTTATTTGCTTCATTTGTTCTCTGCCTGGTGCAAGATCGGCGTGCTTGACACGACAAGGTCTTGTGAGGCTTAGTCATACCGTTACTTACATAGTAGGGGCTTGACCTTGTTACTCACTTCTTAACTTGGGCCCTAAACATAGACTTGTCACTTCTTGGCAAGGGGCACCTTCCCCAACCACCACCACCACGCATTTCCGGAGCCAGCCCGGATTCTGCCTACCCATAGGCTCCATAGTAGTTCGTTTTTGGGATTACCTTATAGGATTCTAAACATGAACCCCCAAAAGGAACTACTAAGGAGCCCAGCTCCGAAAGGCCCCCCGATCGCCTGAACAGGTACAACCCGTACCCAAGGCCCGAAATCCTGCCTTTTTTTTTGAACCCGTGCTGAGGCCAAGGCTTACGACGGGAAAGGCATGTGCAAGAAATCCTGCCTTAAACCCCCGAACCCTGAAGAGGTTCAAGAGTGCCCGTGGCTCGTAGGGTTGGGCGGCATTTAAATCTTTCTTTCTGACGGTTCTCAGGGATTTAATCGTGTTTACGCACCCGTACTATGCACCCGAACCGTCAGCCCAACTGCAGACTCAGGGTTCACGGTATTTAGTAGATTCCCTGTAACTCCACGAAGTTGCAACTTCTGCAACTAGGCTTTGCAACCCAGGGATCCTCTCAAACACCGGGAAAAGCCTAGCATGACCCCTTTGGATGAACGAGTCAAGGGCTCTGGCTCCCAGCATATATTGGAACCCTGAAGTGAGTAAGATGTCGGGTATATTATCATATGCTTGAAAAAGCACGCTACAAGATATTCCGACCCCATACAGCCTAAACCATGCACTCCAAGCCCTAACTGTCGCACGCTTTAGGCTCCCCTAATAACCCTTTTACACCTGGACTACGCATATGCCAGGAACTGAGGCGCCCCCTAATAACCCTAAGCCCTAAACCCTATACCCTAAACCCTTAAATCCCCCACCCACCGCATCCCCCTCCGGCCTCGCTGAAACAAGGAGACATGCCTTCGTCCTCCTGAACGAAGGAGGCCATATCTTCGTTGTTCTCCTGGCTTACGGCGGTAGGGTTGCAGGGCTTGGGTGTTTTATTCCCTCCTACTTCGCAAAGGCGAGGCCTGCATTGAGGGGTAACTTGGGGTTTAAGGGCTAAGCGCTCAAAGCTTTTCGATTTTCGCGCTTGGAGTTTAGAGATGCTGAGATGCTTTTACGGTTTAGGGCTTCAGGGCTTGGGGTTTAGGGATGCTTAGGGTGCATGGGTTTCCGGTAAGTGCTTGTCTAGTCTAGGGATTCACTCAGCTAGAACCTCACCTTCTCAGGGTTCATCTTCGCCTTCATCAGAAGATCCTAGCCGAAGGTAGTGGCGACGCAGCCATCTGTTCTGGCTTGCTTAGGGAACTTTCAGCACCGAACAAGAATGCAAACTCTGGACTGAAAGCCCTACTGTTTGATAGCATGCTACCCTTTGTTTATTCGACTTTTCACCCTCACCTCACATCCCTGTGCCCTATCCAAGGCCTGAAGATAAACTTTTTGACAATTGAAACCGGGTTTTGGGCTGATTTAAGCATAGATACACTGAGGCTCCTATATAAGCCCCTTATCGTACTTCATCACATCACAAGGCTTCGACATGTCCCTATTGTGAGCCCCTCTTGCGGAGTGATCAGAAGCCTGCTTTTGGGCATTTGCGTTGGGATTCTTGGTGTTTCAGCTGAGGTTTACGAGGTGGCTAGGGCAAATTCGGGCTTCTACGGTTACAAAAACAGAGCTGAACAGGGATCCTATTCAATTCTCAAAGGAGAAAACGAGAAAAACAACCAGTTCAGGCTTTGGTTGCACATGCAGGCCTTCTGAAAGAGGCCTGCGCTCTGGGGCTCTGTCGGAGCTCTCTCTCTCTCTCTCTCTCTCTCTCTCTCTCTCTCTCTTCTTCTTCTTCTTCTTCTTCTTCTTCTGCAGGGTGTCTCTCTGTCTCTCTCTCTCGCTCGCTCTCGGAATAAACAAACATATACGTATATATATATATATATATATATATAACATATGCGTATACACACATAAGTTTTGTCTACGGCACCCTAAACCCTAAACCTTATGGCTTGTCGGATTTAGGGATTGTTCATTTTGCGGTCGTGTCGAAGTTTGGGCTTGTGCGTGGTGGGCTCAGCGTTAGACTTTTGATTTGCTTGGAACAGAAACCGGGCAGCTCGTGCGAATTTTGGCTTTCTTTCATCCTACCTAAACCTCTTAATTCTCTCCTGGGGCGCCTACAAGCAGCCTAAAGTATGTGTGCCCTCACGTTGAAAACCTATCACATCTTTGTTAGAGGCTCCTGCCAGGACCTGCCCTCTGCACTTCCACGCAGCATGTCCACCGTGGCTGCCAGGGTGGTGTTGTCCGCCATGGCGGCTACAGCAAGATCCTAAGGTCCTAAACTCTAGCTCACGACTCCCCGAGCAGGTCACCCCTGTAAAGCCCATATTGCTTTGCTGCAGCTTAGGGCGGCTTTGTGATGCTCTATCATCGGTAAAGCGGTAAAGCCGGTCTAGCTCCTTCATCAGGCTTTCAGCTTTTGCACCCTCGGAAACCTGATCTGATCTCCTACACCTTCATGTCTAAGGCCTGCCAGGCGAATCCTCCTACAGATTCGACTCAGAGGCTGGAGTCTGCAGCGCGCTGTGACTCTTAGGGGAGTTTCTGTCTTCCTTCAGTGCAAGCTGGGACCCGCTATGCCAGGCAGGGAAGTAGAGGGGTTTGGTCCGGTGAAGTATGAAGGCTAGATTCTACACGCACCTGCAGCATCGAAGCAAGGTTGCCCTGATCAGGCTGATGCGTGTTGCCCTGGGGGCGTGTGTGGCTTCTGCTTTCAAGGCCCTGCTGTGGACTGCGTCGAGCTACTCCCTGAACCCGCAAGGCCCCAACATAGGGGCCTTGTTAGTTAGGATGGGTTCCGGGGCCCATCATACTAGAAAGTATAGTAAGGAACCCCCCAAAGTAGGATTGATAATTATTTCGGCGCCTACATTAAACCGGAAAGCCCTAGTCTCGAGCCAAAGGCCAGCTGTTGGATCTTGTTTCCTGTGGACCCAGGCCCATATATCCCAAAAGCCAGGAGCTCCTAGTTACTCCGAGCAAACTCTGAACCGAAGCAGGGCCCGGACAAACATGTGGGAGTTTCCGAAATGAGGGGTACCTTATTTTGGGGTCCTTATAGTAAGGATCCTACTATTTAGGGTACTATGTTAGGGTCCCCTATTTTCGGAAACTCCCATGTCACGGTACATCAGCCATCTGACAGACACACTTCGATTCCAGGTCTTGGTTGTCCCAGCGCTTGGTTGTAAGTCGCCCTGAACCCTAGTCCCTTACAACTCACAGGAGTCGCCTTCATCCGAACGGATACGCACGGTCCCTCCGCATGAAATTCCGTGCGACATGGACCTTCCGTAGCCTTTCAATTCAAAGAGAACTTCTCGCTGAAGTGATGGGGCTTAGGCAAGTGCGCCTTTACCTCTTCAATAAGAGCAGCAGGTTAAAGACTCAACCCTTTGAAGTCGCATGATTTTTTATAAAAAAGTACTTTAAAAGAGCACTATGGTAGTGTCCGGACGGAGGCACATATGACATCTTCAGGGAAGTGTGTTAGGACATCTAGAGCCCACATCTGTACAAAGATCCATTGCCCAGGTCTCACTACTCGAAAAGACAAGAAGAAGAGAGCACAGCCCAAGTCATCAGGTGGTCGGGGGGGGGGGGCATTATATAGTTGTAGCGTTGGGGGTTTAGGTCTTTTCAGTTTTAGCTCCATTGCCTTTAGTGAGGGGTATCGGGAACCCTGGATTGGTAACCCGAGCCCAAGCAGCAAAGGCCCTAAACAAATGTCTGTTTCGGCAAAGCCAACAAGGCCCGAAACCTTTGACCCTGAACGCTGAACCCCAAGCTGTGGCCCCCACAGGACGGCCAGGGTGGTCGTTTTGCCAGCACCATTAGGCCCCAGCAGCCCGAAGCACTCGCCGTGGCGAATACCGAGACCTCATCAACCGATGTTCAATTTCGGGCTGTTTCTGTTCCTAACAGGGATTAGGGCCGTTAGGGCTTGAGGGTTTCGGGCTTCGGGTAGGCTTTAGGGGATCCGACGCCCAATCTCCGGTGGTTGGTTCTTCTGAACAAGACAATGTAGACCCTTGATGGATACCCATAGGCCCCAAAGTAGTTCCTTTTTGGGATTACATTATAGGATTCTATATATGAACCCCAAACATGAACTACTTTGGGGCCTGCGGGTAGTGCCCCTCCCCTTTCTTTCACATCGGGATCCTCTCACTGGCGCCCTCAAAGGAACGAGGGGCTAAACGTCTCCATCGCGGGTCTGCATTAGGGCACTACCAGATGCCGGGAGCCATGTACCTTTCTAGAGACCCGGCAAACCACTACCGGCGAGAGCCACCTGAGCAAGCGAGTCTGGCGGCACACATGTGCTGCCAAAACTTCGACACTTGTATCGTGCAGCACTTCACTGGTCGGAAATCCGCAGGTTGCCCTAAACCCTAAACCTTAACCGGTCCGAAACCCTCACCCGAGTTAGTGCTCTGAGTCCGAACGTTGCCATGACCACCTTCAGCACTGGACGTCTCAAGCAGTAAGCGCGCAGCTAATGCCCCGCACGGCATGGGTCTCGACCCACTTCTTCTGCACTTTTGTCCTGCCGAACGTAAAAGTTAGCGGCCCGAAAGTCCCGAAAGTGTAATCTTTACTAGCTACAACTACGGGGAGAGAGCTGCGACATCCTTCTACGAATTAAGGGTTGGTTGGGCTTTAAGGGCAGGGCGTCTATCGTCATCGCCGAACACGGCTTAGGGTTATATGACAATGTCCATACAATTAGGAACGTTTCGGTGGTGCTGCATCGGTTGCCTGACTTCTGGCTGTTCTGGGTTCTATGCGTGGCGTTCCGGGCAGTGAGCCGACAACTGAGCTTGCGTAAAGTGAGGGGAAGAACTGGATGCCTTCGTTTTACCGAATATCTGCAACTCCTTTCTGCCATCTGGTGTGGCTTGGGCGACTGCCAATGAATGCTTTTCTTCAGGCAGACCAGGCTGGGTTCTTGTTAAGAAACTGTAAACTTAATTTAAGTTGGCAGAGTAAGGAGTTAGCATAACCGGGACCTTTAGTTAAACCTACGCTTCCCTTATGATGGTAACTTAAACTGAAGGAACTTAGTTTAAGGTTATCATAAGAGGGACCCTATAGCAAGTATCGTGGCTTCCTTGTTTTGGGCAAACTCAAAGTACATTCCGCAAGGGTATAGGGTTTAGGGTTACCACGACAGGGATCTATATATGGCTTCCTTCTTCTGGTAACTCAAAGTACATTCCGAAACAAGAGCCCAGCAGAAAGTGAGTTTGCTCAACCTGGGAGCTGCGGCTGAATGCCAAACTCAGGCTCGCAAAGACTATACACTGTTCTTCGATGCAGAAATATAGGGGCCTTCTTCATGAGAACACGGGTTTTGGTGTGTGTATATATATATATACACGCACTATGTAAGGGCCATCAGGGGGAGTAAGTATTCACTGCTCAGGCATATTCAGACCCATATATTAGGATGACTGCTATCCGTAGTAGGCAGGGTGAAATAAGGCAAGTTGAGCATCAGCTCGCCACCTGAGGCCTTCAATCGAAAGCGAGGGCTTTTGCGAAAATTTAATTCAATCGTGCGATGCTCAACCCCCTGGTGTGAATTCAACGTGGGTGGAGCAGCTTTTGGCAGATTCTGCCAAGTAAGACCCTAGACCCTTAACCCTAAACCCCCCATGCTTCCAAGAATGCGAGCGCCGGACTCAGGGGACTCAGAACCCTCGGATGTCGAAGGCAAGCCACTGAAATTAAAGGGTTAAAGTTTCGGGTTCCTACTAAGTTTAAGGTTTAGGGTTTAGGGTCTAGGGTCTAGGGTTTAGGGTTTAGGGTTTAGAGAGTTTCGGGTTCCTACTAAAGTGACGGAAAGTCTGGGGATTTGGGGGTTTAGGGTTTTAGGGGTTTAAGGTTTCGGGTTTAGGGTTTGGGGGTTTAGGGTTTAGGGGTTAAAGAGCTTAAAGGTTGGGTATTGGGGATCGAAGGGCTCTTATCTTTCATCACTTCAGATCTGAAGTCATATGGGCTTCGGCCACGTACTTGCAGAAGTGTAGATGTATCCCAGGTAAAGCACCCAGGATGTATACTAGCCATGAAAAAGACTAGACCCAAGAGTAACCTAGGAAGAAAAAGGGTGCCCTTTTTGGTTTAAAGGGGGTTATAAGGGAACCTGAAACCTTAAAAAGGGAATAAGGGCCTACTCTAGGTCCTAGAAGAAAGGAATCCGGTCGCATGCTTGTGTCAGCCTAGCTACAAAAACATGAGCTGGGAGAGTTCTCAAATCGCAGGCCTTCCGGATGCCTGCTACAGGAGGTTCTATTGCATGCAGATCATGGGCAGCTCTTGCAGCAGCCTGGAATGGCTAGAACTCTTTTGCGGCTCCTATATCAGATCCGGACAAGAACTGGCAACAACATGGTTCATCATCACTGCAGCACCTGGTTCCAAAGAAGTCTCCCAGGCAAAGAGCCATGTTTATCGGCTCGTGGATCTAAGACCACCGACGCATTGAACTCTGGTTCGGCTTGTGGCGTGTGGCGGGGTGAAGCTGTGCGTGCAGCTTCACGAACATGTCGGCTTCGTGGAGCGCTACGACTACTGCCAATGGCCTACACAATCCTCATTGTACAGTAAATCACGGTGATAACTGATGACACCTAAGTAGCAACTTGAACGGTCATAGTTGTTGTTACGGAGGAATAGGCGGAATCTACCCCCAGTCACTTTCCACCCAGATCAGGTATGTCTTCTTCGGGGGCTTGAAGCCTCAGCAGCCAGCTGTTTAGGGTTTAGGGCCTACTGTAGGGGCCTTAATCATTCGAAGAGGGTTTGGGTTTGGGAGGCCACTATGCTCTCATTATAATTAGAAACCCCCAAAATAGTATAGGCAATTATTCAGGCCCTACACTAGAGTTCTCGGAAAACCCTTAGCCCTTGACAATGAGGGTTCTGAGTTCAGGGCTCTTGGGGCGTGCGGATGCTTTGCCGGCATCCTCCGCTTCTCCCTAAGCTAAACCCTCAGCTAAATCCTAGACCCTAAGAACCCTTGCCTATAGTCTGAGTTGTAATTCGTGTTTTTTTGTTAACCGGTTTTTGGTTAGGATCCTAGACCATAAATTTGGGTAACCCAAAAACAGGAACTACGATAGAGACGATAGGTAGGGGCTGAGTGCCCTAGCCCAATAAAAGGTTAACCGCTTCGTTTACGGTAGGATTATATAAGCCCCAAATCAAAAGGTTGAAGGTTACTTATTCAGCTACTAAGATCCCAAAGCTAACCCTATAAACCCCTCAACCTTGCAGAAGCTCCCACAGTAAAGGCCCGGGATCCTCATGGAACAGAAGGCCCATAAGAACTAGCATAGGCTTCCTTCGAGGATTCTGCAAAGTTGTCCAGAGTTTATGGTTTCAGAAAGGTGCCTCGAACGGTTACCACAGCTCGGCTAGAATGGATTTACTTTGACTTGAGGCACACCATCTTCATTCAAAGAGCGATATGCAATGCTGACTGCGACACGCGGCCAGAGCAGTTGGGACAGTCCGGTGGAAAGTGCAAACACCAGAAACGGCCGTATTCTCGCCTTAGGGTTGGCCGGACTTTGCCTCTACGAGACCGTGTAGAAAGAACGCTGGAACACTAAACCCTAAACCAGTAAACCCTAAACCCAAAACGAACTCGAAACAAACACCATTAAGCCCTCTTCAGGTAAGCAGCTGAAGGCTATCCCGCGGCTCCTAAGCAAGGATGAGCGATCAGCCAGAATGCTCCATGGCAGGTAAAACAACTCCGACAAACACAGGTGTGTAGGAAAGCGCCGCGCGCAAACTGGTGAACAATATGTATGTGTGCATTTATATTTATATTTATATGTATATATACACACATATGTGTATATATATATATATATATTGTATGTTTGTGTGTATGCACGGATGTATGTACGGATGTGTGTGTGTATATATATATATATATATGCTACCCCCCCCCCAGGACCTACCTCGAAGCCTCTTCTTGTACTGTCTAGACGACTTTACGACTCCACTCCGAACTAAACTGTAGTATACTGCGTAGTCTTCACTGTCTACGACGACACCACACAGTTCGAACCAACACAATACCATGAAGTATTGTCTATTGTCCTCTGTATGCTACGCTATTTAACGGCGCCCTCCTCCTGATGTTCCTTTTTTGAACCGTGATCTATAGGGTATATTATAAGCTATTGTAAACGGTATCTTAAAAGGTATTCTGGAGGATATTCTATGAGGTATATTTGGGTACTACCAAAGATATATTTCATAGGCGGTCTTCTGTAAGGATGGTATTCTTTAGGGCATTCTAGAAGGTATTCTAGAGGGTACTCCATAACGTATTGTACAACAGGCATTCTGCGGCCTATATGTAGGAAGGTATTCTATAGTGTATGTTTTATGAAATTCATTAAGGTGCATAGAGAGTGTATTTTATAAGGAGGTTGTAAGGATAGTTTTCCTGGTTCCTGATTTCTTCATAGGAATCCCTTACCCAAAAGCTGCAATTCAACTAGAAATTCTCAGATATTGGGCTCCGGCTGGCTTTCCATATTTAAAGCCCGTATTGCGTACGTATGTATAAGGTACTGTTAGGGTTTTCTATAATGGATTCTAAAAGGTAATCTAAATGGTACTGTACAAGTATTCTATATGGCATACAAAAGGTACACAGGATGTATAAAATAGAGGCGTTCTTCTTCAAAGTATTCAACGGGGCATTACAGATGGTATTATATAAGGTGTGTGTCGGGTAAATCGGTGGAAAAGGTAGTTTAAAAGGCATTTATAGGGTATGTGCAGCATGTGCTTCAGAAGAGCTCTGCTCTCTGTACGTATCCTTTGCTAGATAAGCATCGATTTTCAAGGAATTTTTAGATCCGATATTCCGCAATTCCTTGATATGAATCCACTGCTAAATAAACCACATTCAACTGGGGAACTCTCAGATCTCGGGTGTACAAGGTGTATAGGGAATATAGGAACATTATATAAGGTATTACCGTATTGTACATGAATTTCTTTACGGTTTGTAAAAAGGGTATTCTGTAAGGTATTCTACAGGCATAAATGTCCGTTGCTCAATAAGCTGCAAGAAGCTTGGGCTCCTTCTGATTTATTTTAATTAAATCCCGATCTATACGGTTTTTTGTCGGGTATCCCAAAGGGGTTCTCAAGGGCATGTATAAGGTATAAGGGGAGTATCATGTATAGGGCGTTTATAAAACATTCTGTAAAGTAATCCAGATGGTATTCTAAAAGGCTCATATAGGGTATATAGGAGAAAAACAAGGTATTCTATGGGGCAGTCTATTAGGGTATCCCAAACTGTAACGTGTGAATAGTTTGCTATAGGGTGTATATATAGGACAGATTTCTATAAGGTGTTTCATGAGATACAGGGTATTCGATAAGGTAAATTATACAAAGTATATACTTCATAAACTCTATATGGTACGACCTGAGTATTTTCTGTGAAATCCTGGACAAGATATTCTATGGGGCAGTCTATACGGTATCTAAAGGGTATCCCAAACTGTAACGTGTGAACAGTTTGCTATAGGGTGTATATATAGGACAGATTTCTATAAGGTGTTTCATGAAATACCGGGTGTTCCAGAAGGTATGTTATACAGAGTATATACGTCACAAACTCTACATGATACGACCTGAGCATTTTCTATGATATCCTGGAAAGGATAAGGGGGTATTCTATAGTGGACTTGGAAGGATATTTGTTTACAAGTAGGCTCCTGATGTCCACCATGGGAACCCGTTACTCAGTAAGCTATAACCCAGCTGGACATTCGCAAATCTTCGGCTCCGACTGATGTTCCATGTCTAAACCTATCTGTACAGTACTTATTTTATTTATGCTCACAAGGACAGGACTGGAGCTGGAAGTACAAGATCATTTGATTTTGATTAGCTGCAGCTTGCATCATCACACATTTGTTGCCATGCGATCAAACTGTCAAGCACAGCAATCCGCTCCTTAATCTTCACTGCAGGACCGGCCATGTGGCACATAAAAGGGCAAGCCGATATGTTTCGTGAATATTTATATAGTTTCCAGCGACCTGGCTGCATTAAAACGCGCATTAAAAAATTAAATTTTAATGCAGCCTGGCCCGTGGAACCAAGAACCAAGATTCCCAGGAGTCTTGAATCCTGAATCTTGGTTCCACGGTCACCGGCCGGGTTGCATTAAAATTTGCATTAAAATATTAAATTTTAATGCAGCCAGGCCCGTGGAACCAAGAACCAAGAACCAAGATTCCCAGGAGTCTTGAATCCTGAATCTTGGTTCCACGGTCACCGGCCGGGTTGCATTAAAATTTGCATTAAAAAATTAAATTTTAATGCAGCCAGGCCCGTGGAACCAAGAACCAAGAACCAAGATTCCCAGGAGTCTTGAATCCTGAATCTTGGTTCCACGGGCATCGGCCGGGTTGCATTAAAATTTGCATTAAAAAATTAAATTTTAATGCACCCAGGCCCGTGGAACCAAGAACCAAGATTCCCAGGAGTCTTGAATCCTGAATCTTGGTTCCACGGGCCTGGGTGCATTAAAATTTAATTTTTAATGCAGATTTAATGCAGCCCGACAAGTGCCCACGGAACCAAGATCCAAGAATCAAGACTCCTGGACATCTTGGTTCTTGGTTCCACGGGCCAGGGTGCATTAAAATTTAATTTTTAAATGCAGGTTTTAATGCAGCCCGGCCGGTGCCCGTGGAACCAAGATTCAGGATTCAAGACTCCTGGGAATCTTGGTTCTTGGTTCTTGGTTCCACGGGCCGGGTTGCATTAAAATTTATTTTTTTAATGCAGATTTAATGCAGCCCGACCACTGCCCGCGGAACCAAGATCCAAGAATCAAGACTCCTGGGCATCTTGGTTCTTGGTTCTTGGTTCCACGGGCCTGGCTGCATTAAAATTTAATTTTTTAATGCAAATTTTAATGCAACCCGGCCGGTGACCGTGGAACCAAGATTCAGGATTCAAGACTCCTGGGAATCTTGGTTCTTGGTTCTTGGTTCCACGGGCCGGGTTGCATTAAAATTTAATTTTTAAATGCGGGTTTTAATGCAGCCGGGCCTCTGGTATAGTCATGTTCGTATACACGATTCTTCAAACACCTATTCCATGTTGCATGTGTGTGCATGTGTGTGCGTGTGTGTGTGTGTGCGTGCATGTGCATGTCTGTGCACGGGTAGTACAGTGTGGTATCATCTTTGTAGACAGACGGGTTTGGAGGTAGGTCCTGGGGGGGGGGGTACCATATATATATGTATACGTGTATACATACATGTACACATACACACATGCATATATACAGACCATATATACATATGTATATGTATACACATGCACCTACAATGAAGACAAAGAGACCACGAGAAAGCCAGAGAGAGATCACCACGACAAGGATTAGAATGACAACGTGGGCAAGGAGAAATCTGGGAGCTTGAGGGACCCAGAGATACAAAATTTAGGGTTTAAGGTAAAAGCCAGAGAGTTGGAATATGATTATCCTAAACCCTTTATGGTACATTATAGGGTATCCTACCCTGAAACCATATTCCAACTTTCTGGAGTTCCCTTTAGGGGGCTGTATCTGCCAAGGGAAAGACAATTCGGCTGCGGACAAACGGTCTCCCAGTCGCCTCAAGTCGGTGATGCGCAAGGGGTAGAAAAACTGACACAGCCCCAAAAGTGGCACATCGGTGATCTGCCAAGCGTCGTAAAACATCGGCAGCTGAGATCGCCCGGATTGCTGTTACACACCTCGGGTTCTCCGATGATCGCGTTTTGCTTCAGGAGTTTCGTGGGTTATCCATAAACAAATGAATACATAGATTAATAAACAAACATGATATATACATATGTACTATATATATATATACATTCATATTTGTATTTTTTCTAGTGCAACCTATGGTAAGAAACACTACGGAAATTTCGAGTTCCGGAGTTCTGTGACATTCCACCATGTACATGCAGGAGAGGTGGGCAAAGTGAGACCGCCTGCTGCACATCCAGGTGCGGCTTAAAACTCGCCTGCTTCCCATCCTGAACTTACAGCTCCGTGATGAAGCAAATGCTGAACCAGAGAAACAAAGTAGTCACAAACAAAACATTGAAGAACCCTAAACCCCAAACCGTGCATGGCAACCTCATGTCTTGTGGCATACCTCCAAGAAGACCCAACGACCTGCAAGCTCCATCAAGCGGATTTCTTCTGAGGAAACTGAAGTGTAAAGGGCTTAGGGGTTTAGGGTTCCGCCTTGTCCAAGAAGTGCACCCACCGACATCGCTTGTCCAGGTGCTCGAAGATCCACCCCTCGAGCTCAGGCAAATCGGGAGCAAACCATGGGTAGCCGCCTACTAAGGGGTTTTTTACATTGAGGATTTTACGGCTTACGAGTTTCTGAGTCTAATATATAACTTACTTGTGGTGTGCGGCACATTCTTAGATGCCGTGGGTGATTTCTTCCTAAGACGAGCTGGGTCATGCTTGCCTACTTAAGCTCCTGAACGTACCTATAGTCTCCATTGTAGTTCCTTTTTTTGGTTAACCAAAATCTCTATTATAAGGTCCTAACCATAAAGCTGGTTAACCAAAAAAAGAACTGCAATGGAGACTATAGGTAGAGACTGTCTCGCGAAGCCCAGGATGGCCGGAGTGAACAAGGCTGTACTTGTCGCGATGTTTGGGAACACAGCCCCAAAACATGTACAGGTCCAACTGGCCAAGAGGTTCAAAATAGATCCCACACCCATACCGAAACCTCATCCTCACCTTAAGTGCGAACCTTTGGAGAGGGCATGATCCATGCAAAATCTGCATATCGTAGTGCCGGAATAGCGGGAGATGCGATGATCTTTGCCTCTGACTTCGCCCAAAATTAAACACTTGGGTATGCAACAGACATGGCTTGGGGTTGCGGACTTCCTCTTCAGGCTTCAGCGCATTTGTGGAAGGTAGGAAGCGGAAAACCTATCAACCAAGCTGACTCATGCCTACTGGAGGGGCCTTAATGATTGGAACAGGGTTTTGGGGGCATATTATACGATAATCATAATAAGGACCCCCCCCCCTCAAAAACAAATTGTATTGGTAATTATAAAGGCTTCCTATGGTATTCTCCCAGGTGCAGATCCCAAATGTTGTGACTTTGACATCTTCTGAGATCGGGCTTTTCTTGCTAGTCCTCCTCCAGAAGAACAAGCCAAATACTCGGATACCCATATTTCTGCAAAAACCCAGCCGATCAGCAAGCGTCGAATATGTACTGCACACCCTAGACTTTATTGGGCTTCAGGTTTCAATCCATGAGCCTACTTTAGGTCTGTTCGGCTACTCAGCGCCCTCCTGCCTGGCAATCGACAACTTCGTCACAGCCCTTGCAACCTGGCAGACCGAAGTGGCACATCTGCAAAGGACTCACGGCACGTGGACAACACCACTCACCCAGACCCAGAGTAAGCAGTAGTCCCAGAAACAGTCGTCGAGGGTTTCCACCAAATCCATCTTCCTCAATCCTGCGGCAGTGTGGGGCTTCGGATTAAAGGTCTCCCGTGGGCACTGACAAGCGTTAGGTGTGGCGTGCGAGCAGTCCCAGGTGCTGCCTGCAGTCCTACCACGGTGGCCAAAGAAAATCGGGAGGCATTTGTTGAGTTTAGGATCTACAAGCCATAATTAATAGACAGCCAGTTGCGTGTGCACTCTGTTGCCAAACTCGTTTACAAAGGGACTGTATGCTGCGACATAATGTTGGGGTAGGCAATTAAAACTGACACTACCAGGATTACTAGTAGTAGTACCCATGACCAGATCAATGACATAGATTTCTTCGCTTTTCGGATAAACCACAACCGCTCAATGCACGGGATGAAGCCCTGAATCCGTAAACCCTTCAACCATCTTACACCCTGAAACTCCTTTGTTCAGCATGGGCTACACAGCTACTCCTTAATTAGACCCTAAACCCTGAACCATCCTAAACCCTCAGACCCTAAACCCTTAAACCCGGAACCCTAAACCATCCTAAGCCCTCAGACCCTATATCAACCCCTAAACCCCGAACCCAAAACCATCCTAAGCCCTTAGACCCTCTAAACCCTCAAACCCTAAACCATCCTAAGCCCTTAGATCCTATAGAAACCCTCAAACCGTAAACCCCCGGAGCGTAGCAGGGAGGACGGTCCCGTGGAAGGATCGGTCACATTAACTCCCGCAAGCTCCTGGGCTGCTAATCATAGGTCCCATAGTAGTTCCTTTTTGGGAGTACCCAGGGGTCCTTTAAAGGGTACTATAAGGGCTCCTTTAAGGGATCTAAAGGGTTTAGGGCTTATGAAACTACTCATAGGTCCCATAGGTTTAGGGTTCCTTTAAAGAGGTCTATAAGGGCTACTATAAGGGATCCATAACCGCACTATAATAATGTAGGCTTTTGGGCTCATTATTCCGGCTTTTGGGCTTACCCATAGGCCCCATAGTAGTTCGTTTTTGGGGTTCATATGTAAAATCCTATGAGGTAGTCCCAAAGGAAGCCTAATAGCAGTTCCTTTTGGGGGTTCGTATGTAAAACCCTATAATAAGGTAATCCCCAAAAGGAAGCCTAATAGTAGTTCCTGTTTGGGGTTCATATGTAGAATCGTAAAAGGTAATCCCAAAAAGGAAATACTATGGGGCCTATGAGTAATCAAAGCTTTGTTGTTTTTTCATGGGCCCTTTCCCAACTGCAGATACAGAAAGAATTCTAACCAAGGGTTTAGGGCTCAAATGGTTTAGGGTTAAAGGGTTTAAAGGCGAGACCACACCCTCAACTCAACAGGTTTGGGCTCTGACGCGTTGAGAGGCTCTCGCAGGGCAGCTAGCCCGATTTAGCGAGAAATGTACGGGCCTTGATGCGTAGAATAGGGCTGTGGGGTATACGATGCAAGGATTATGAAGACAGGGACCTGGAGGAGCAGCATCAATTGATCTTCATCTGCCTATGTAAACCTCGATGACTTTGAGGGATTTTGCTCGTCCCAACCTTCACACTCAAGGCCTGTACTAGCTGCTATGCCCTGAACCATGAACTCGGCTTAGGGCTTAGGTTTCATAGGGCTGCTAACACATCCAGCACCGTATACCTGGTCACAGAGCTATCCCTCTCTGGTTTACGTTTGTTTTGAAAGTCTTCCGTTCAACCTCTCGGGTTTCTAAATCTGTACCGTAAAAGCCCTGAAACCATGTGACCTCCAAGACTTCCAAGCAACCCACGCCGCACAGGTGCTCGTGCCATTCTGGGCTGCGGAGCCTTTGGAATTTCGGGCGGGCAGCTACAGTTAATAGGGGTAAGAGTTGGGCGCCGCATGTATAATATAGGGGCCTTAATAATTAGAGTTGGGTTTTGGCGCCTTTTATATTATAATTGTAATGAGGAACCCCCACAATAGTATAGGTAATTATTTTGGGCCCCTATATTATACGGTTCGGCGCTTTATGTGAGTTTTGGTCTGGGCGCAGGGCCCTCCAATGCCAGAAATTGCCATAAAACCGTGCTCCGCTCGCTTCTGAGCCTATGCCCTACTGCAGGGGCCTGAATAATTAGAATAGGGCTTTGGGGTCCAGTATTTCGAAGTATGATAAGGACCCCCCCCCAAAAAGTATAGGTAACTATTGAGGCCCCTATATTACTCTAACCACTAAGCTCCAAAACGCGAAACCCTGCGATTGCAAATCCACTCCTTTTGTCCTCAATTCCGGAACAATACGGTCGATGATATAAGCCCTGCATTCCCCGTGTATACCATAATTCCCACAGTTTAAAGTCCTTAATGTAATACAGGATCTATATCATCAACCGTACGTCCTAGCCGGGGCCCATGGCTTGGGTCAAGTGCTTCGAGAGCTTTACTATGGGATTATACTATGTATGGCTCTCATAAGGAACCCTGAGAAGAATATTTGTAATTAGATAGGCCCCTATAATAGTAGAGATTTCCGGGAGCCTATTTGACTCGGTTCAGCTTCCTGCTTTCAGCTCGCTTTGTACAGATTCCTCCTGTGTAGACTCGAGGAGTCGCAAGACTGCCGGAGGGGTCGGTTTATTTGTTTAGGCTTTAGGATTGGGTTTCGGGGTCTAGGGTTTAGGGGTTGAGGGGTTTAGGGTTTCGGGTTTAGTGGCACTACTTCGAGTTGGAAAAATCATCCGGTAGACCCGAAACCCGAGAGGGCTAAACCCTAAACCCAAAAGCATGGACGGCTTTAACTTCAGCTTCACAGTCGAGCACTCTTTGCCTCCTTATGTCACCCACACAAATGTTTATGTCGAGTAGGCCTGCGAAGTCCAAAGATAATCACTAAATCCATTCGTCTCCCAAATCGGAACCCAAAATCCTGAACTGAAGCCTACCCAGACCCTTACGAACCAAAGACCTTTGGATCCTCAGGAGGGTTTCGAACTACAGAGCTTCAGTAAATGCGGAACCCCAATAGCAATCCTACAAAGCAGGATCCTCAATATGTGGTAATTAACAATAACCTACCCGGAGTTTCCCAGAACCCCTGACATTTTGCCGAGGCGCACGAGGAGAGGCGTTCCTGAGGATTGATGGACAGCGCCAGCAGTTCCGGTCAACCCCTAGCAGTATGATACATTAAATAGTACTTGTTGTTTACCATATAAGCAAAGGTATATATATATATATAAAATGTACATATATATATATGTATATGTATATGTACATATATATATATATATGTACAGGTGTGTGTGTGCGTATACTATAATCCACTATACTGTGTTTTTCTAAATTATACTATATTAAACTATGCGATGTGTTATTTTTATGTTATTCTATGTTGTGCTGCAATACATGTGACATATTATCATAAAAAATGGTTATACCGTTTTATGTTTGATTATACAGAATATGCTAGACCGCTGATTTGAGCTGATTATGCATATGTTTTATGGATATCAGGCCCGTATTTCCCTAAACCCAGCGCGTCCCCAGAAAGCCCAATACCCCCTTAATTAAGGAATATGGCTTAAACTATACAGGGCTTCATATGGGTGGTTGTCAAAATTAGGGTCCCTTTTTGGGTCCCTAATTTAGTACGGCACCTATTATTTAGGGTACCCAAAAAGGGACCTAAATTTTGACAACTGCCCATATTATGATTTAAGCTATATTCCATATTTAAGGGGTATTGGGCTCTCTGGGTCCTTCTTCGGCTCATGGGTTCGGGTTCCCAGAGACTCCCATATCTCTTAACTAAGGAATATGCCTTTAAATCATATAAGGGATCTCGCTGTAATTTAAGGTATATTCCTTTATTAAGGAAGATACCTTAAATCATAGAAGGGATCCTACTATAATTTAAGGTATATTCCTTAATTAAGGGATATTGGAGTAGGGTAAGATGACTGGGGCTTGGTAGCTGCGTAAAGTACCCGTGGGTTTATATACATATGGATATACGTCTATATATCTCTATCTATATATATATATATGTATGTATATATATATATATATATAGACAGATGTGTGTGTGTGTCCGATTGTTGGAACCGCTGATTTATTGTGCTTATGTGTTTTCTGCCAGACTCCTTATCATTGGCGAACATGTATGCATGTATGTGTATGTCTATACTTGTATGTACTTATTTACAGTAGACGGTCATCTTATCCACACTGTGGTGGCCTCTGCGGGCGGCTTGATCACTGCACGCGCCACGAAGGCGGAGGCAACCGCCGAAAGCAACGCCAGGGAGATGCCACCTGTAGGCGAGCTTCGGTTTAGGGCTTCAGTTGGAACGAGCCTTTTTCGGCTAAGGATTTAGGGTTTAAAATTTAGGGCTAATTCGGGCCACACCGAAAGTGCAGGACCTGGGACTTCGCCCAGGGAGCGAATAAAGAATCTACCTACAGGTTTAGATCTGGAGCTTACAGTATATAGAGTGCCTTTGCTAACTGCTTGCAGACGTCGACGTCGTAGCACCTGCATGGCTCTCCATCTTAATCCTGCAGTTGAATCTCGGGCCGCAGCAAACGTTGCGCGAGTACTTAGGCCCAATTTCAGCGGCTGTTGAGCTCGGATCCGCGCATAACCACAACCGGCACTGCATTAAGGAAACCGTTTTGACAGCTCGCAACATTCTGCATTGCCATTCGGAAGCCTTCGGCTCGGAACGGCTTCAGCGATTTCTCGGCTGTACAAGCGTTGCAACCGCAACATCTGGACTGCCTCTGCAATGCTGGCAGCATTGATTCGTCTACAAAGGCGAAGCTTCGCTCTTTGTCTCCCTCCCTTCGGGAGGCCAGTTCTTAGGGAACCTTGTGCAAAATGCGCGGAAACGCGGCACGAATTCGAAACACGTGTGCTACGTATGCAGCTCATGATATCCCTGTGCAGTAGGGCTATTGGCGGCTTTCTACGTGATGCATCATTTGAACATACCCGTAACAATGATACACGCCGCTGCTAAACAAAGAAGCAAAACACAAATGAACATATACATAAACATAGCCAAGTGCATGCATGACTTCTTTACATAAAACGAATATGTACAAGTATATACACACACATAAATACACATGTATTTACGTACGCACATACATATGAATGTAAGTTTGCATGTACATGTGCATGCATGTATATTGTGTGTGCCCGATCTGAATATTACTCTATATCGCATGACTGTGCAACTACGCGTATACCTCAGAGCACAAGCTCACCTGCACATGTCGACGCAGAGCTGCCGGAAGTCTCCTTGGCAGGCGAGCCGAAGTGGAGGATCATGTGATTAAAGACGTAAGTGGGGCTTTAAATACGGACATGACTGCTTAAGCCGAGGGTAGGTCTGCGGAGGCTACATAGAGTTTGATCGTTTCGGCACACACTCCTTCCCACGTTCCCTCGACGCCCCGCGTGGAGACGATTGCTTATCATTGGGCTATGATTATGTTATAAGTAAATGTATCCTACAACCCTACTTGCTAGGTCCTCTGATCCTTGTACACAGCATAAAAACCCTGCACCCGTAGAGGAGCCCACACAGGAACCTACAACACCCTGCCCACACAGTCCCCCGACCCCTTCAGCGCCGGCCTGAGAAAAGCCACTGGAGGACCGAAAAGAAGAAACTGGCGTGAGATCCTATGAATGTCCAAAGGAAGCCTCGCTAAAGGCTGCTATAGCAGCTACTGAGAAGCCGAAACCGAAGAGGATCAGGATCCTAAGCCTTTGGCAACTTGCAGGGCATATGGCTCTTAGGCTACGTTGTGGGAGTTTATGTTTCAGGCTTTAGAGCCCAACCTTTTCCGTAGTTTCCGTAAATCTAAGGCCCCGGTACAGACCCAAACGCGAGGCGAGGGACCGCTAAACAAGCAAGGCACCTCACTTTGAGTATCCTTATATATCCAGAGATCTCTTATGAGGCCCTCTACACCCAGAAAAGAATCCAGACGAATCCCTGCACCACACGGTCCTCGTTCGTGTCTTCTTTTGCCAAGCGGCTTCAAGTAAAGGCCGGTGCTGTGGGAATTCGACGGATGCTCCGATAATAATCGCCTTACAGGGGGTGTACGATTCAGGGTTCAGGGTGCCCTTCTGTTGTCGGAGTGGTGGTTAGGGGCTGAAAGATTTTGTCTTGAAGTGCCTAGGAATAGTTGTGGCGTTCAGGTTTCCGACAAAGAGCTCAGGTTTAGCGGCTTTGACGGCTTCGGGTTTAGGTTTTGTACAGTTTCGGGCTAAGACTTTTTGGCGCTTCGGGCCAAAGGCGGGTTTGGCCGGTTTGGGTTCTGAGAGTGCACAGGTCTCGTACATATAGACTTCTCAAAGCATTGCCGGCGGGCCTTGTGTGGTCTTTGGAACTTAGAGTAGCGCATAAGTTACATTTGTTTAGTAAGGAATGCAGGAATGGGGTACAATAATAACTATTACTACTATCATTCTTCCAATCTTTACTAACCAAAAGTTAGAATAAGCTTGGTATGAAACGGCCTCGAGGCCTCGATATCTTTGTATAAATGAACGCTCGTGGATACTCTGTCTTCTGGATATTTTTTCGCGGATTCGTTAATGACTTTCGCGGAACTTTGTAGTACTAGTCGCAGTAATTAATGCTGCAAGCTTCTAGCAATGGAAAAGTAGTAGTAGTAGTAGTAGTAGTAGTAGTAGTAGTAGTAGTAGTAGTAGTGGTAGTAGTGGTAGTAGTGGTAATAGTGGTAGAAGTAGTAGTAGTGGTAGTAGTAGTAGTAGCAGTAGTAGTAGTAGTAGCAGGAGGAGTAGTAGCAGTAGTAGCAGGAGTAATTAGTAGTAGTAGTAGTAGTAGTAGTAGTAGTAGTAGTAGTAGTAGTAGTAGTAGTAGTAGTAGTAGTTATGAGAAGGATCCCGATATTTGGAGTCTGAGCTTGCGTCCTCGATCGCCGTAAGCTCCAGTGAGTTCTTGGCTCAACCCTTCTTGCTGCAGGCTTGTATGCAAGGACAAACCCTAAACCCCTAAACCCTAAACCTCTTGGTATGCTCCGCCAAAAAACTGAAGGAGACACCCGAGTCGGGGCCCTTCTCGAATCGGTGCTTGCAGAAGAGGCAAAACCTTGGGGGAGATTTCGGATTCGTAGTTCTTGGGATTAGGGTTGAGAACGGGAGTTTAGGGAGATTCCGGATTCCTAAATGGGAGTTTTCCGAAAATACGGGATCCTAATCTAGTACCCTAAATAGTAGGATCCTTATTATAAGGACCCCCAAAATAAGGTACCCCTAATTTTGGGAAACTCCCAAATTGGGGTTCGGGATCTTCCGTCCAGGGCTTCGAGGTGGAAGGCTTAGGGTTCTGGGTTTTGGCTTTTCGGCGTTTGGGGCCAAGTTGAGGGGCTTCTTACTTCTTGGGGTTATGGTTTGAAGGGAAGGAAATTTCGGAGTCTTGGGTTACGGCTTCGAGTTTGCTTGGGCCTGGGGCTTAGGAAACCTTCGAATTGAACCCTGAACGCTAGAGCGCTTCTCTACCCGCCGTGGTTTCTGTGTTAGTGTCCGAAGCGAGGCTCAGTTCCGTGTTTTCTTCTCAAACTTTAAGTGCTGCTTTCGTAGAACTTGTAGCAGTTGTGGAGACTTAAGTGCAGAAGTGCAGGAATGTCACGGGTTCGGCTGGGTGTAGTCACAGACGCCACGTAACCGGTGCTGTAGCCACTGATAGCTGCATCCAAGAGCCCCGAAAAAACGACTTCATGATTGCCCACAAGAGTGAACAGGCTGTGAACAGGTACGAGTAAATTGCTTTACCTGCTCGACGTTCTGCTCGCTTGTTGTTTTAAGAGAAAGGTTGCAGTCAGGGCGTAAGGCCTGGACCTTGTAAGTCTAGGTTCTATACGGCTTGCAGAGATTTGAGACGTTGGGTTCTGGGTTCAATTCAAGTCAAGGATCGGATTCTGGGTTTTTAGGCTTGATTACAGTTTAAGGTCGTCCAACACCTCACAACCCTGAGCGAAAACGAGTTCAAAATTCTCGAGGGTGACGAGAGCAGAACCTCGACATTTTTATAAGGAGCCGTGCGGACCAAACATGCATGTCCATCGCTCCCAATATCTCAACAGGACTCTGCTATGGTATCACATGGCAGATGCAAACCTCCACCAGGCTCACTGATCTCGAGTGGACGAAACCCTTTGGCCCAAACCAACCCAAGCACAAGAGTCTCGGACTCCCGCTCTAACACAAAGATGCCTGTAGATTATTATACGTAGAAATAAAAGTGCGTGGGGGATTGATCTCGACTTGGTTGCTGCTCTCCCCACCAGAGCTGTAATGAATGTAGGTGTGGCTGGCTAGCACTCTCCACAGACTGGACCCTGTCTCTCTCTCTTACTTCCACACGTGCGATCCTATGCAGGCAGAACCGGCGGCCGTTCCTTTTGCACTCACTGCCGGCGGCGGTTCGTCTGTGCAACGGGATAGCTCTGATTGCTCAGGATAGAAGACACATATAGCACTTAGCTATGGGCATTGACTTGAGCCTTGAGCCAGACGTTGCGTTGGCGGTCACATAGAAAGGTAAAGACGAGGGATGCGTTGCATGCCCCCTAGAGTCGAGGGACGCGTAGCGTGCCCCCTTCTCCTGCACTTTACACGGTCTTGCTCACAGCTCTTATAGTGACACCTTAGAACTTGACCAGGCATCGCAGTCCGTTCGCACCCCCCATGAGTTGCGTCTCCGACGCTGCTCACCCGGAAGATGGCACGATAGGACAGAAGAAAATTCCGCCGCAACGTTGACATTGAAAATCAGAGCTTTGTATCCCAATTAGAAACGTTGTGACACTCATCTACGTCAGTAACGATCCCCTGAAATGACAAACGAATCAGGCGTCACCGAAGAAAGAAGCATTCGCGATGGCATTCCACAGGCGAAGCTCAGAGGTCACGAACTGATAGGCGAGGAAGATCAGGCGTTGTCTCGCCACCATCTTCGCGTTGACGTAGGATCGCGTTCCCAGGGCCGGAGGTTCTCCTCTGGATATGGGTTCCTTGGCTTTCCCTTGTCCTTGCCTTTGTTTCGGCCTTTGGCGGCGATGTAGTCGTGGTAGGAATTGGTGTTCCAGCCACCATGTTGCTCGCCTCCGGTTCTTCCACGCCCTTTTGAAGGTCCCTTGGATGAAGAAGCGCTTTCACGTTCCTCCGTAGTGACCGGCGTGTCCAGAATGGAAGTACCACCTGGAGGAAGATAATCAGCGGCCGAAATGTGGTGTAGGGCCTCTGTACGCCTTGTCGTCGGGTTTTGCTGTCTCTCATTCTTGGATCTGTTCAATCTGTCCATGAAGTGCGCAGGCATTTGGATGCTGTGATCCACTAGCAAGGCGATGGTCTGGACTGACTGATCAGAATGAGTTAGCAGAATGCCGACAGGGTCGATGTACAAGAAGTCCACTGGTCCAGTTGGCGTTGGTCGTAGCACCGAGAATTGTTGGTGTCCCGTCACCATTGGGATCACCTCGCATAGGACGTTAAGG